GCACTGTCTGCAGGTGTGCTGCAGGTAAAGACTGACTGTCACTCCTCCCCTTTTCTTTTCCCTCTCTTTCATCTCTGACCTCTTTCGCTTTGGTCCAGCACTGCCCTCTAGCACGATGAAGTCACATGGTTTCCTGTTTCATGCTGGAGGCCCCAGCGAGACGAGGTTTATAAGGTTAAATGAAATCTGTTGCTGTGTCTAAGCAGCACAGCACAAATCTTATCAGCGGCCTCCCGCAGACCTCGACAAATAAACAGCGTTTGGGGCCGTTTCCAAAATAACCAGCCGAGCGTCAGGAAGGGGCCAGCAGGAGAGGCCTTCAGCGGGGTTGGTCATAAAGCTCTGCCGGCTGTTATCTCAACAATGCATTCTGACTGCAGAGGAAGTCCTGCAGTGGCTCTATATTTCCATATGTTCTCTCTTCGCTTTCATCCTTTTTAAAAGCTGAAACGTTTACAGGAACCGAACACATCAAGGTACAGTTCAGACATCATTTTGTAAACATTTGATGGGCTCAAATTTAAGCTCAGGGTTCTCACAGCGCTCCTGCCTTTAGGATTTAGCCTGCATTTACGCCTTTTTCAGTTTTCCTACCTACTTCGCTCTTTCTCTTGTCGCTAGGCAGCTTAACGTTGTTGCTGAGATAACTTGCAGATGCTATCATGAGAAATGTGTAGTTTTAGTCAGTCTCTGGTGGGAGGAGTTCAGATTCGGGGTCATGTTTGGACAGAATTTCTGTCGGACCCAGATTTAAAACATCGTGCTACTGGTCGGACAGGTTTTGGGGCGAATGTTTGGGTTTGGACCAAAATTTCCAGAAGCGTACAAGCTTTATTCCTTTTCTCCTTTTTTATCCCTCTACACTTCTTTTCCTTCTTCTTTCCAAACCCGCTATCAGATTTCAGCACATAGCTCCCTCCTTTTTGCCTCATTCTGGCACCCTCTCTTGATCCCTCACACATTCTTTCTCTTTCACTCCTCCTCCTTCTTCTTCTTCTTCTTCTCCTCACTCTTACGCAATGCAACCATATCAGTTCCCTCCCCTGAATCTCCAGGGAGACTCGGAGGGGGCCTGCGCACTGAAAAATCCCCCCGTCCTATTCCCGACAACGCACATCACGCCCCCTCCGAGCCTGACTCTACCAGTCACTGACTTCCTGCCTTTCTATCCTTCTCTCATCCACCCAGAGACCGGCTCTACCACAGATACCACCCAAACACTATAATCAAGCAGGTATGCACTGAACCTCTTTCATGCAAAACCCACACAACTCCGCATAATCGCAGATGTCCATGCACGTGCTGCATTGGAGTAAACCAAGTTGGATTGAAGTAAAAATGACAGACTGCGGCAGAGGTTTGCAACTTCAATCACAGTTTCAAGCACTCCCCATGGCAACTCCAACTCAAGAAAGGCTTGATAATGTGTGTTGGGTGGGAGATGCTGGAAACTGTGCAGAGCAATGAATCCCTACACTCTTAAACAAAGGTGGCAAGAAGGGTTGTCTGGAGCAGTGAGAAGAACCACTCTTTATTCTTTAAAGAACCATTTTTACAAATGAGATTTGTGAGTATACAGAACTTGAAGGACATCCACCAACTTTAAAAGTTAATACCAAAGATTTTATTTCCTGGAACAACATATAACCCAAGAATTAATACCTCTTTAAAGCCAAAGCACAACATAGTCTACTCTTCTCCAAAGATAACACCATTTTTTAATGCTGCATTTAGTTTTTGCATTTATTTGCAGATTTTTATTCAGTTTTAACTTTTGAACAAGAAGATGAATAAACAGGAATTAAACTGACATCAGCTGCTTTCTGTTGTTACTCTGATCAAACCGGACAATAACAGATGCTTAATGATCTGAATTACACTTTGAATGAGCTCACCTGTTTTCTCACAAATAAAGGAAAGCCATTAAAGAAGCTTCATGCATCTTTAATACAGTGATAGAAAACATGGATCATGGAAAGCTCAGATTCTGCACTGGCCAAATGACTATCATTCATAATACGTCAATAACAATACTGATGCCTTAATTTTGATACTGATTATTGAATAGTAATATTTTTTGGTACCTACTTTTAAAATAGAATCTGAAAGTGGGTGTGGCTTAAACCAGAAAATAGAGTGAGGAGCTGGAAGTGGGTATATCTAGAGACCACAAGGGGTGGTCACTAAACTGATCAAGAACTGGTCAAGAAGCACTAAAAAATACATACACAATGTAATGTAAACAGCAAATCACCAGCTGGCCCATGGCCATCGATAGATTTTGTCTTGCTTACTGGATCAAGGATTCTGTTAAGCCTAATTATTTAGACATTGAAATCCAGTATCAAATGACATGGAATATTTATTACTTAATTAAATTAGGACCATAAAAGTATTTAGTTTTGATATCCAGCCCTAGTAGACTACAGATAATTCATGACCTGCTTTATAGGTGTTTGTGGAGACGGGTGCAGAAGTCTGAGTAGAAAAGCTTTGGCACAGGTTGAATAGAAGAGCGGCTGAATTGTTCTCTTATCAGCGGCTGAAGTTCACAAGCATCAGAAAAAGGGTGTGGTGCAGCAGGGCTGCTCCAGGTGCACACGGCCTCATCAATAATGCAGCATGGTGTCAAGACCTACAATAGAATGTAAAGGGTAAACATTAGTGCTTTCAACGCTGACAGCTGGATAATTAATTTGGTGCCTGGGTTACCTAACAAAAACCATTCATACTGATTCATTATGAGTGTATGATTGATATATGTGCTAGATATAAACAGTCATGATGGTAATGTGTTACTAGTGCTGCAAGACAACGAATGTAACTGGACACAAAGTAAACTTACAGTTTAGAGCAGAGTAGCAAGTAATAAAGAGACACGGTCGCCGGCAAATATTTGAGCAATTCTTTACTTTATTTCAAATTACATGTTTTGTTGATTTTGTAAGTGATAAATAAGTTTACACATCCTCTACAGCAGTGGTCACCAACCCTCCTCCAGGAGATCTACTTTCCTGCAAAGTTTAGTTCTAACCGACATCTAACATGCTGCCCCCCCCCTTACCCAACATTAATGCATCTGATCCAGCCAATCAAGAACAAACGCGGCAGATTGTGGTTGGAATGAGAGTCAGCAGATAGGTCGATCTCCAGGACCAGGGTTGGTGACCACTGCTCTACAGAGAACATACTTGGTATGTTCAGCGTACAGTGGATGGTATAGTGTAGTGGTGTAGACTGGGGTTCTGTCCCCCGCCTGGGCAACCATCCTATACTATACCAATAAGAGTCCTTGGGCAAGACTCCTAACACTGCCTTCGCCTACCTGTGTAAAATGATCAAATCGTAAGCCGTTCTGGATAAGGGCGTAAAAGTACTTTTTGTTCTATTGTTTATTTGCTAAATTTAACATATTGTGGAAAAAATACAACATAATATTTTCTATTTTATTTTTTCTAATATGTTAAAGCAAATATAGAGAAATTGTGCACTAGAATGAAAAAGATCACATTCAAGTTTGTCCCCTGTAAAAACTTATTTTCACTTAGAAAATCCACAAAACGTGTAATTTAAGGGAGTTTTCAAACTTATGTATATGACAAGCACACATTTCTATAAGGTCAAATTCATTTTTATTAGCCAAAGAGAACAAAGGGTCACACTAAGCAAAAGTTACTGTTGCATACAGCTTATATGCTTAGAGCTATTTAGGCCTGACTGGGAATGGCCTAGAAGTCTGTACTAGATATTTGCATGGGAATGACTGTAATAGTCTATTTGTAGTCGCTTTTCGCCCAACAAGCCTTTCACACCCTTTCATGTAGTCACTTTGGCCAGTTTGGAAAGAGTTAGTCACAATGGCCTCAGTGACCAGACTAAACAGAATTCCGCTTATTTGGCTAAGCGTCCTGAAAAACATGTTCCTGAATGTCCTGTTTGTCTTTGTTCTATCTGTCATCATGGGTTTGCCCAGTTATGGGTGAGAGACCGGAGGAATAATGTTATGCAACCGGGGCTGAAGTGAGTGAGTGAGTAAGAGAGAGAGTGAGAGAGAAAGATAGACAGAGTGAAGGAGAGAGAGAATGAAAAACATATGAAAGGGCTGTCAGATAAAATCAGGGTTTGGCAGCACAATGGATATCTGCTGAGCAGAGTTCGTGCTCTCTCACAAGCACACTTTCCTCCTGAATTAATTAAACACAGAGGAGAGTCTTAACGAGTTTCACAACTTTTCACAAGTATCAAATTGACAACCATCCAGAAACCAACCCCCACACTCTCTCTGAAGTATCGCTTTGAAGATTGTCATGCCACGGAGTAATTAATGTCATGTGTAGTATCAATAATGAAATTCAGTGGTTGGTGTGTTCAGGGTGCAGTTCTGTTAGGAAAAGACGACTGTATTGAAGAGAGAGAAAGAGAGGGAGAGTGAAAGAGAGCATTGTGACATGATTTTGTGTACAGGGTGGAAAACACTTGAGTAACTGTGCTTCGTTACTGTATAATCGCAGGCACATACACACACATTATCTAAGCCGCTGGGCGGTTGGGCGTTGGGCAGTCGTTTTTGCAATTTGGCAGTGATTTTTGTGATTTTTATTTTTCCGTTTTTTGTTCTTGTTCAGGAAACAGTACTGCCCAGTAGTCACCACGCCACACTCACGGCTGGCACTGTAGTGTGGTAAAGGGCAGAGACTGAGAGATAATGCTGTGCAATGCAATGCCTATGAAAGTGCATGCCCATTGTACGCTAGTGTTTCAGTGTTTTTGAACTGTACGAATATTTTAGAGTTTGCTGAAAAAGGGTAAAGATTAGCTTTACTCACTATTTTGTGTCATGCATTCCTCCAGCAAGGACTCCAAGTCCCAGAATCCCTTGGGAGATCACATGACCCTTTCTCCTCAACACACAACCTATCCAAGACCGGCGTTGCCTGAGTGCTGAGTTTGTTCACCTGTTCTGTTTATCATGTGGTCTGTTTAGCCAGCTTTATAAGCCCAGGTATTGTGCCAGGTATTGCGTCTGTTTTCAGAGCTGCTGAGTGTTTCTAACGATTACCGGTTTGATTTCCTGTGTTTGACTTTTGGCCTATTTATTCCGTTTCTGTCTCACTACCTGATCATTTGGACTTTGGTATGAATGTTAATCTCTGGTTTTGTATTGTTTTGGATTTGACATTGGACTGTTTTGTGACAACAAGTTCAGAATTTCCTCAAACCGGAAATTCTGGGTAAAATACGTCTCGCTATTGCCTTTCAGACAGTTACTAACCTCAGAAATACAGGTGCTCGTATCAGTCCACAGAAAGGTGAGTCACTTTATCTTTGTCACAGTTGCCAAGATTGAAATCCGAGGATGTGTCCAGAACTGTTAGAGAACCAAACACACAACAATGTAGGAGTCCAGACTAAATAAAGGATAAAAATGATTAATGGAAAAATTCAAAGCTATTAGAATACAGTCACGTCAGCTAATGACTTCTGCATGATAAATCAATGGATAGGTGAAAATAACTATAACCAAGACGCTAGAAATGCAGCTCGCCAGCAATAAACTAGTTGGCGAAAGCAGAACATGCACACATGCCGGCAGGGGGGCATGCCGGGTCATCATGGTCCGTAGCTGTGGATGTTTTACACATAAACATCTAAACCTCATTAAGGACTCACTCTCTCTCTCTCTCTCTCTCTCTCTCTCTCTGATACCGACAGCTTTTGAGGGAGAAAATGAACTGTTCCTCTGACAGTGGCTGCAGCAGCCATTATAAAGCACTAACTGCACGTTAACGTTGGTCAGCCGGCGTAAAATGCTGACACAGATTATTCCTTTGTTAATTGCACAAGCTCATTTTCCTCTCCTCATCGTCAGCTGACAAACCACTGAAACTGAGACACGTTGGTTTTTGCTTCAAGCTCAAACACGTGAGTAAGCTGTAGACGCTCTACTCATCATTGTTATTGTCATCACGTTAGTGGAAGCAGTGTTACCCTGCAACGAGAACTTCCAGCAGAAAAAATGCGGAAATGTGAAAAGGGCCTATTACTGACGAGGTCAATGGGGCCAGTGTCCAGGGATCTTTGACTGATAGGCGCCTTAGGGGGCATCAGACTAAGACAGGCTGGAGCCAGTCTCAATATGACAGACAAATATGTAATAACTAAATAAAGTAAATAAGGCCTTTTAGCCCTCATCCTGTCACCATATTTAAAACAATTACAAGCCCCCAACACCAAAAATGTGCTGACGTGTAACTGCAGAATAGTCTGTTGCAGATTACTTAAAAATGAAACATTCAGTTTACATTTGTAACGGTAGCAGACGGAACCAGACACTCACAAACGAGGTTAATTGTTAAGCTTTATTAACAAAGGGGCAATCCAAAAAAAACCAGAAAGATAAACTGGAGATCCACAAACCATTACATTTTCCAGTGCCATTTTGCTTGAAACAAAAACTTACCATTGTTCTTTTTTTGTTTTTATTATTATTCTATGGCCAAAAATTTGCAAAGGTACTTTGCAGGATTAGAGAGCTTAGCAACCACCTGGGATAGCACAGCAATGGCCTAGCAGCACCTTAGCAACCACTTGGGATACCATAGCAACAGCCTAGCAACACCTTAAGACTCACCAAACAACCGTAAAGCAATGCCCTTTTGTCCAGTAGTATCCAACTGCAGACTCGCAGTACCGCACTTTCAGACCTGCACTCCTTACAAGTACGCCTCTAGTGGCTCATTTCAGAATTGCAGTCACACTTTCCTGCCCTTCCGAGAGAATTTTAACATGTCATTTTTGTGTTTTTAGCACCGAAGTGTGTACAGTATGTAGTAATGCTGCTTTGAAGCCCAAGTGAGGCGATAGTTTTGTACGAGGAGGAACTTGTTAACTTGTCGTGGTTTTTGTTACGGAAAATACTAAGGTTGTGAAATAAGTGTTTATTACTGCAATATATCAGTTTTGGCCTGTTTTACTGGTGCTTTGAACCCATTCTATCTTAAAAAGGATGGATGAAGTTTCTTCAAGGGTTCTTTAAGAAAGGAAATGGTTATGTTTAGAACTATGAGTGCTACATAGAGCCATTTCATGCTTACATAGTTCTTGGTGGAATGGTTCTCAAGATTGATATGTGAGGGCTTATTAAATATTATGCAGTAATAGCAGAGCCGGTTCTCTGGTGATAGACGTACGTCTCTCATGCTCTTCATGTTACAAATGGCAAGCCTCTTGATCTTTACGTTACATCATATCCAGAGCTGAGAGCGCGGGGCTGAGAGCGTGGGGCTGAGAGCGCGGGGCTGAGAGCGCGAGGCTGAGAGCGCGAGGCTGAGAGTGCGGTACTGGAGGTGGGGGCATCTAAACACACGTCTGCCCAAGGGTGCTGATGAGACCATGATCCACCCCTGGTTAAAACAATTACTTTTATATATTTGATTATGTTTAAATGGTGGAACTTTTTTACATTCACTCAAGTATATTTCTGACTCCACACTTCCACTTCTGGAGTAAGAATTTGACACAGTGCCTTTCACACTCTCACTTCAGTATAGTTTGCCTGTACTTTTTATAACTGTGTGTATATGTAGTTCTATAAATCTGCACGTTAAAGTGATGGACAACAATGAGGGGAGGAAAAGTCTGTCACATACAGGACTGTGCAGAGATTTGATCAGCATGAAGTTTGACTTCCTCACTTACTAGTTATGCAAAAAAGTCAAATCAACCACCTTATGTGGACCGAGCTGAGCTGAGGACTTGGCCACAGCGCATTTTTTCCAAAACCTATTTCTCTCGCTCCTCTTCTTTTGTAAATCCTTCCTTTTTCAGCCTTCCCTCCCACTCTTTTCTTTCCTCCTCTGCCCCCCCAACCCTTCCCCCAACTCCAGTCAGCCCAGAGCATTCCTATCCCCTTCCATCATACCTGCTGCTGTTTCACACGGCTGCAGCACTGCCCAGTCCACTGCCCACTCACAGCACCCTCGCATACAAACCTGCACACAAAGACCCTCACTGTTAACACCCTGAGTTACAGGAGAGAGAGAGAGCGAACGAGAGCGAGCAAAGGTTGGCAACGAGCAAAACACAGGAGGAAAATATTAGCTCAGGAAAAGTGGGGAGAGTGGGCTAACTTCTCCTTCATTTCCTCCACAGTGGAGTGAGTTTTGCAGACATGGCTCACAATAAGGCTCCCCGTCGACATGTGGGAAAGATATATACCGCTGTTTCACAACAGGACCACGCCCAAAATCTGCTAATCACTGATCTGATGAGTCATGATAGAAGTAATACTAATCGTGTAGGCTGCCAGTCAATTCCAATGGCTTGGAAGTGCTGCAGCTAAGTCACACATCTCAGATGTCAACATTAGCTCAACTGCTGTGGACACTTGTCCTCATATCCATTGTTTTCAGGGACAAAGAGTGTTTTTCTCTTCTCTTGTGCTCTGAAATTTGAGATAAGAACACACGCAGCACACAGAGTAGTCTGTCCACACTTCAGGGCATGTGTGGTCAGGTCCAGATGTGCATACCAAAGACCATAGCTTTAGGTAAAACTGTGTGCTCTACTCAAAAACATGCTACAAGTTCATAACTACATACATAAATCTGCTGTGTGTGTCGTTAGATAAGCTTTCGACTCCTGAGGCCTGTGCATGCAATAGGATATCTTCTCCAGTGAAAGACATTTGCTGAGACTTTTTGACTTTGTACAGTGCGAGTTCTGCCAAAATGGCTTAAAATAAGGTTCCCTGTCAGCACGTAGGAAATGTACACCGATCAGGCATAACATTATGACCACCTCCTTGTTTCTATGCTCATTGTCCATTTTATCAGCTCCACTTACTATATAGGAGCACTTTGTAGTTCTACAGTTACAGACTGTAGTCCATCTGTTTCTCTGATACTTTGTTAGCCCCCTTTTACCCTGTTCTTCAGTGGTCAGGACCCCCATGGACCCTCACAGAGCAGGTACTATTTGGGTGGTGGATCATTCTCAGCACTGACGTGGTGGTGGTGTGTTAGTGTGTGTTGTGCTTGTACGAGTGGATCAGACACAGCAGTGCTGCTGGAGTTTTTAAACACTGTGTCCACTCACTGTCCACTCTATTAGACACTCCTACCTTGTCAGTCCACCTTGTAGATGTAAAGTCAGAGACGATAGCTCATCTGCTGCTGCACAGTTTGTGTTGGTCATCCTCTAGACCTTCATCAGTGGTCACAGGACGCTGCCCACAGGACGCTGTTGGCTGGATATTTTTGGTTGGTGGACTATTCTCAGTCCAGCAGTGACACTGAGGTGTTTAAAACTCCAGCAGCACTGAATCCACCACCCAAATAGTACCTGCTCTGTGAGGGTCCATGGGGGTCCTGACCACTGAAGAACAGGGTAAAAGGGGGCTAACAAAGTATGCAGAGAAACAGATGGACTACAGTCTGTAACTGTAGAACTACAAAGTGCACCTATATAGTAAGTGGAGCTGATAAAATGGACAATGAGCGTAGAAACAAGGAGGTGGTCAGAATGTTACGCCTGATCGGTGTACACTTCTCTTTCTATTTTAACACTTTGTTATTCCTGTCTTCCTTTAAAGTGCTACAGTGTCAGACAGTTTATTCTAAGTATAATCAAGTCGCACACAAGGTTAAATGCTAACACTGTTATCCCAGTGATTAATCAGTACCTTAGGGCGCTGTTTCTTAATCCTACTTCTGACATTTCAAGTATTCCTTGGATTTATGAGTTGGATCAGATACAATCATGTGCAAAAGTTTGGGCACCCCTGGTTAAACGAGATGTTTTGTTGATTTTTGTGGAACAGACTCTCTACAGAGAACACATTTTAATCCACGATCACTGTTTTTATTCTCTGAATAATTTAATTCGCTGGGCAAAAAGTAAACCATAAAATGTGGCCTGTGAAAAAGTTATGGCACATTTAATGCTGCAATGCCATAATTAAGTTTGTTCAAATTTCTAATTAATTTGGAATTTAAACTTTTGCATATAATTATATGTTGGACCAGGGAATAGTTGTTAGAAAAGATTAGGGTAAAATTGTCTATTTTACATTTTTTTACTTTGTTTTACAGACTTAAACCTTTACTTGATGTAATTCATGTAAACCTATAACCTGTAAACACTTATTTATAGGTTGGTTTCCAAGGTTACGCAGGGTTTAAGCCTAGCCCTGGACTACATTTTTCTTTTAATTTAGAATCCCCATTCCTAATGCCGTGTAGTAGTAATGCACTGATATGGGACTTGTGGGCCGACGTTGGATATAATTTTCATGTACATATGTGCCAAT